TGCTCTTTGGGGGGATTTAGAGAAAATTACGTCTTCTCATAGGACTCACTATTTCATAAATAATTATTTTCCTCTGATTTTAGAGTAAAAGGCGATTTGAACGCGATTGCAAAGAGGCGGACAGGGCGCAGCAGTACTTTGAGAAAATGGACGCTGACATCAACGTCACAAAAGCAGATGTTGAAAAGGTGAGGTGAAGGCTCAAGTGTGGGCCAGGCGCTGTGGCTCACGCATGTAATCCCAGGCTGTAATCACCTGAGGTCAGGAGTTCGAGACCATCCTGGCCAACATGGTGAAACCCCGTCTCTACTAAAAATACAAAAGTTAGTTGGGCTTGGTGGCGGTCACCTGTAATCCTAACTCCTCGGGAAGCGGAGACAGGAGACTCTCTTGAACCTGGGAGGTGGAGGCTGCAGTGAGCCACGATGGTGCTACTGCACTCCAACCTGGGCAACAAGAACGAAATTCTGTCTCCAAAACAAAAGAAAAAAGAAAGCTCAAATGCGTCTTTCATTTCCCTTATGAGTGTTCATCACCGACTGCCTGTCCCCAAGTTCCCGTTTCTGATGTAGCCACAAAAGGCACTTGACAGGGAATCCTTTTCATTTTGCGTCAGCCACTGTGGGGACCAGAAGCTCGAGTGTGGGGCCTCTTCAGTGTTAGGATTTGAGGCATTTATCTGTTGAGTCACCAGGGTGATAAAGTGGAGACTTAGACCATGAGGAATCTGGGAGCAACGTTCCAGAAGGTGGTGGCTCTTAATGGCTTTTCAAAGAGAAAGTCTGCTTCTTGAGAGCTAGAGGAGACTCGACAGGGCCATCTGGAAGAGCTTGGCTGCTTTAGAGCCATAAAGAGCCTCGCTGCTTGCCTGTCTTCTAATTGATTCCACCTGGTTGCTAATAGTGAGGGTGTAGTTGAAGGCTGGGATGTTCAAGGCCTCTTCAAAAGCTTTTCTCTAAATGGACTTGTATTGCTAGTTAGAAATGTTAAAGCGTATGCCGTTTCTCATTGTGGCTCAATATGTGTTTTTTCCCTAGAAGCTGAACTTTGTTTTTATAAAAGTCATCAATACGGTGTAAATAAATTAGGCTTTTACATAACAGGATTAATTCGTGACTGCGCATGGCTGTTTGGGCATCACAGCCTCATGCTGTATGTGGGTGAAAGCACAGAGTTTTCATAGATTTGTTGAGCTTTGGGCAGATTAGAGATGAGTTGAGCTGGGAAACAGTGTGAACTATTATTTGCCCAATTCTACCAAATTCCTTGCTTGAAGACTAGGTATATTATGCCTTCCTCTCAAATGATTTAATATATTAAAATACATATTCTTGCCAGGTGCCCTGGCACACACCCCTAGACTGAAGCCCAGAGGATTATGTGAGCCCAGGAGTTCAAGGCCAGACTGGGCAAGAGAGCCAGACCCCATCTTGGGCGGGGAAGTGCTCTCAATATCTGTATTTGATCTCAAAATGGAACTACTTACTCTACCAAAATACATTAATTTGCTGCTAAAGTTAAATATTTAAAATGTTATTCAATTAAAATAAGTTAGATTGGCCCAAAGTTTAAAACAATATTTTAGGTCGAATGGGGCAAATCAGTGTATGTATCATTCATACATATATATATGTGTGTGTGTGTGTGTGTGTGTGTGTGTGTGTGTGTGTGTGTGTATTTGTGCTAAAAAAAGTATATTTGCATATATTTTAGAGATAATGAGATAGTCTCTATTTTTATTTTGTTTATGTTTATTTTTATTCTTTATTTTATTTATTTATTTTTGAGACAGAGTCTCGCTCTGTCGCCCAGGCTGGAGTGCAGTGGTGCGATTTTGGCTCTCAGCAACCTCTACCTTCAGGGCTCAGGTGATCCTCCTGCCTTAGCCTCCCGAATAGCTGGGACTACAGACACCTAGCATGCCCTGCTAATGATCCCCTCTCTAAATAAACAAATAACATACATATGTATATTTTTAGTGGGTGTGTTGGCTCATGCCTATAATCCCAGCACTTTGGGAGGCCAACCAAGGTGGGCAGATTGTTTGAGTCTAGGAGTTCGAGTTCAGCCTGGGCAACATGGTGAGACCCAGTCTCTACAAAAAACACAGAAAAATTAATGGGGCATGGTGGCGCATGCCTGCGGTCCCAGCTACTCCAGAGGCCGAGGTAAGAGGATTGCTTGGGCCTGGGAGGCAGAGTTTGCAGTGAGC